CCTTAGACTTCGATGACTTCGCTTATCACCACATCGGTTTTTTGGATCCAATGAATAAAACGAACACATAAAAATACATATTTTATTTCCGATTCCATGCATTTCTACAATACGTTCGTTTCACTAAAGATTAACGTTGTGATAATTTTGTGCTAATGTTACAAAACAGTCAGTTTGTGAAGATAAAAAATATCTTTATCGATTTATTGACAGTACAGACATAAAGTCCAACCACAGTATACTTCAAACTAAACATTTCCAAATTACCTTAATTATTAAAAAATCAGTAATGTATGTAATGAACCACGTAATCGATCTAAAAATAAGTCCAGTCTCGATCGAGGTACTAAGGAAATACACAAAAATGAGTGTTAAGAATTCGTGCAGAAAGTCGATTTTTATGTTTTGCTTCGAAGGCTAGGAATTCATTCCTCAATTAATATGTGATTGATACATGGAACGCTACGTACTAATTATTTTGTTGGTTTTGCGCTTGGTCTTATTTATAGGACGTCTTATTGAATCCTGGAGTAGACACGATTATTTCTAATTAATTGTTTACCTGTCTTTGTCTAGATCCAATTACAGTGGAATAATAACATGCCGTCATAACGGGTACTGGCCGACTGAAACAGGCAATTGCGTGGTGAAGTCACCGGGTTTGATTTTTTAAATATATAGACGTCCTACTATAAATTTGGAGACATTAACCTTCAAATTACAATAAACACAAAATCAAAAATGTCTTACTAAAAATGAAAATAGATCGATACAAAATTCGCATTTTATTGTGAAAATGACAGAATGCATTGATCAATTTTAATATTGTTTCAAATTAAGCAATCATTTATAAAAGTGACAGTTTGTTGGTCACAAAATAAAATAAAAACAAGATTACAGTTTGAACTAGATATTAGTACTGAACCACTTTCACGTGGCGCTTTCAATTAAAATAATTATTGCTATGTTTACTTATGAACTTCCAAAACTGAAAGCTCTTCATACAAAAGATAGTATCTAAAATGTTACTATTAATAATTAATACATAAGATTTTTCCTATTGGTGTCTTTTTGACGTTTATTTTCTAGAAAAGTAATAAAAAATAGAAATTTGTTATGTAAAATAATATATTAAGTCTCGTTTCCAATACATTTGAAATTCATTTTAATTTGAATCCAATAAATCTCAATTTCAGAAAGCAATAGAAGCCTTTCAACAAATGTTCCACGTGCTGATAAAAGCTCGAACTTCCAGTGCCTTTGTCCACTTCAAAGGGTTAGTGGACTCCATTGCTCTTTTACAAAAGGATGCCTCAGTCATAGGATTAGCAATCGTCCATTAAATCTGTTATGCCGCAATTTCTATTAGCATCGACACTCTCTACAATGTCCAGTAAAAGGGAGGGTAACAAAATCAGTATTGACGTACAAAGCGTCAAAAATGCCAAAGTATCTCTTTTATGACTGTTTCCAATAAAGTTACAAAAGTCATTCTAGTACTGTGAGAAATTTGGCTCATTTAACGGTAGGCAGCGACTTGGCTCTGTCCCTGTCATTGCTGATGTCCATGAACGATGGTGATCACTCACCTTCAGGTAGCCCGTATGCTCGTCTCCCTACAAGAGCAATAAGATATCCCTCAGCTTGGCTAAAAAATAAGGCCGTAATTAGTGAAAACACAGAACTGGTGTTTTTGCGTCTGTAAATATACCCCTATAATAATATTCTCTCTAGCAAAGATTTTTTTGCTAGTGATATTATTTTACTAGCTAAGACTAACTACGCCAATAGCCCAGGATATCTCACAGTTGATCATGGCTCACTCATGGAAACTACAGCATGGAAGTCAATTTAGATATACCATTGAAGTATCAAATGTATTCCTACAGCGACTGTCGACACGAAAATGCTTGATTAGACTGTATGGGACAAACCGTTAAGAATAATTGTAATTTCATATACATCTTATACCTGTAAACGAGCAATTCTTGTATATATATATATAATCTGAATCTCGGAAACGGCACCAACGATTTTCATAAAATGTAGTATACAGGGGATTTCGGGGGCGATAAATCGATCTACCTACGATTTATTTTCAGAAAATATTGTTTTGTTCTCGTGTTTTCAATAATCAACTTTATGACTCTTCCCGACATCTATTGGCGAATAATAATACTATTTTTCTTAATTGAGAGCAACTAACTGCTTTAAAGACACAACAAGATGGCGTTATCAAAAAAAAAAGGTCATCATCTAGTTATTACTAAATTGAAGAACAATAATCAATTAGAAATAAACGTCAAAACGACAATAACACATAGATCAATGATATTGTGTACTTACTTATAACGTTACAAGACTATACTAAAACCAACAATATTCTTATGTACTTATAATTTAATATAAAATGCTAAAAGTAAACGGAAAATCGTAAACAGCTTTGTAAAAGTAACAAAAAATAAAAACGAATTCTGTGCCCAAACTTTGTATCAAACAGGGATGTCCAAGGCGAACTTCAATTAAATGGTATCACGACATCTTATGTGACGCCTACTATTACGTCTTTTACCCCGGAAACGACAATATTTTGGATATTATACTTATTTGATGCATTTAGGAAGATATTTAAAGGTAAGCAGCGGCTTGGCTCTGCCTCTGGTATTGCTGAAGTCTATGGGCGACGGTAACCAATCACCATTAGGTGGGCCGTATGCTTGTCTGACTGCAAGGGATATAAAAAAAAATTCAACAAAAATCAACTTATTACTGCATGTTTTTTTTATTTTATTACTTAGATGGATGGACGAGCTCACAGCCCACCTAGTGGTTACTGGAGCCCATAGACATCTACAACGTAAGTCCGCCACCCGCCTTGAGATATAAGCTCTAAGGTCTCAAGTATAGTTACAACGGGTGCCCTACCCTTCAAACCGAAACGCATTACTGCTTCACGGCAGAAATAGGCAGGATGGTGGTACCTACTCACGCGGACTCACAATAGGTCCTACCACCAGATTTTGTAAATTTTTTGTAACATCAAATAAGTATAATCTCCGATGTTTGGGCACAGAGTAAGAATTCGAATTTTCCATAGTCTTGCACGTAAAAGTACTATAACACATCATCGTTATACAACGGGAGAATTACCCTGATATCGAAGTATTACTTAATGAGACCTACATTACATTTGAAACAAATTCTAATATTTACAAGGTTTATTTACAGACAATTTAAAAAAAAATTGTAGGCTATGTAATGTGAATGAGAGCTGTTTCCTCAAAGCGAAAGTCCATTTCAAATTGAAGCTATAGTTGTATGCAATGTGTATGACAATATTAAAATGAACTCATTTATAGTTTTCTTAGTGATCGAAAGAAAGCCTTATGCTTTGATCTCATTTTCTTATCTGAAGCTTAGAAAGCCGGCCAATGCTCGGTATTTTAGTTCTGTTTTGTTATGTGTACTAATTTAATGACATTTTATAAATATGATAATTGAAACCGAGCAAGTTATGATTCTCTTGCAGTGTCTTCTCAATGGTGCAAATGCATTATGAATCGGTGTTAAAGATAACTATTTAAAAAGCGCCTGTAAAGCTCTATCTGAACAAAACAATTTCATTTTCTACTTGAATAAAATAATTCACAATTTTGATTTTTCAATTTACTGGTCACGGAAGACTGTAACTGAAATTAATTAGATGTTATATTTCATTCATTTTCGTAGTTTTTATTAATTTATTTTTCGTGATGACCGAAAGGTTAATTAATGTAGAGAAGTAATTATTTTATGTTTATTCAAATTGACTACAGACGATTGTTATCTTCCTCGTCCAGTCTTGCTCACCTCCATCTATAAGTTTCATCCTGACGACATTGTGCCATCTCGTCTTGTATTCAGCTAGGCTTCGGCTTTCAGTAGGCAGCGGCTTGGCTTTGCCCCTGGCATTGCTGAAGTCAATGGGCGACGGTAACCACTCACCGTCGGGTGAGCCGTATGCTTGTCTGCCTACATGGGCAATAAAAAAAAAGCTACTCTGAGCGCAACGTATACTGTGGAATCGAGTGGTGTGGACCTGGTCAGATCAACGCAATGGATTGCGCTCTCACGATCTTTTTCCTTCCATTTTGCCACTAATCAGCACGTTTTCAAAATTGTCTTTGTCTTTCCTGGAAATACGTCCGAAGTACGGTAGGATTCGCTTGAGGCAGAGGCTAGAACGATTATTATATTTAAGTAATAAATTGTACGCAGTTTAAGTCTTCCTTGACCACGAAAACTGTCAAAAGCTTCTAATACATTTTACATAAAAACATTATTATACATATGGCATACATTATATTAATATTAAGTAGTCTGTGGTCGGTCGAGTATAGACGTGTTATAGTGACTTTCGTATTTCTCAAAAAAAAAAAAAAAAAAAATAATAANCGCATCGTGCTGTCTCGTTACTCAATGGCTTGCTAGCCTATGCTCCGGAAATGGATATATTCCATGATGGTTTGCAGCGATTTATTGTTGTTGTTAGAAATTACTTAAGCTAATTATTAATACCTTACAAATGTTTTGGTTTATACTGTTAATTTGTAAGTAGACTAATTAAATAAATAAATAAATAAATAAATAAATAAATGGCGTTATATAGAAATATCTCCAAAACAATATTATCATATTGGTGCTAAAGGCTAAAAACTAAATAAAATGTTAATTAAATATCATTCACTTCTTTGTATCTATTTTAGTACACTATGAAAGAAACTATCACATACATTCTATAAAAAACATACATATAAAAATGCAAAACAGAGAGATCCATACATTAAACACGCTTCGTCAAATCGAACAGTACAAAAAACATTTTTCTACAATAAAACGTTCACTGCACTCCCGACTTATCGCCGAGCAACGCGAAATTCGTATATGCGTGATACACCGCCGCCATTATAATAATATATACAAAACTATTTTACTCAGTCGCTTTATCATTTTAGGAGCGTCTTAACACCGCCTACGTGTTTTCGTTGCGACGACGTCAGATATCGTTAGCGTCCCCCACGTAGCCCTCGTCAGGGCTCTCCGAACAAATATCCCCGGCACATTTCACATTTGATACCTGCGGTAAAGGTTTCAGGACGCTTTCGATGCCTTCCGCGGGCATGCGAGCGTCCGACGCACTGGTCTGAGTGTCCACGCATCTAGTCTCAACTTGGTAACATCGTCCGGGTCCCTCCGTTACACTCATGGGCACCATGACCGCACAAGTTCCTTTAGGGTTCCACGACGGACAGGGTTCGGTTGCGCAGTACTGCATCGGGTCGGTTTTGTAGCCTTCCGGTGGCGAAGGAACGAATTCGTCATTGTAATACACAGTGCCGTTCCCTACAAAAGCTATTTGCCTGTTTCTCGGAACGGGGTAGCCCTCTAAGGTACGGCGCACGTTCGTCGTCATATTGTACATTTCGAAATTAGGGCACGTCGGCTGTGCCGTATTGAACTCTGTGTCTTTCGCGAATTTGCAAACTAATTTCTGGTTCTTAGGCCTGTTGTGGGGTAAGGTCTGGTAAAACGGGCCAACAACCGAATAATTTGACATAATCGGAGGTCGGCACGGATGCTTCGGTAGACCGTAATCGTATGGATAGCCTTCGCTGTCGAGGAAGCAGCCCGGATTGAGGTGCACGTCAGCTGAGTGCTGGTACATATTGTTTAATGTGTTTTGCGGCAAGTTCATGTTGTTTACGGGCTGTTGGTCTTGCCACGTGACCTGCCGCGGCACAGAGGCTGCCGTGAATGCGGTCTCCTCTTCAAACCCGTCGCCCCCCACGCTCTGCGCTTTGTACACTGATAACGCTGTGTTCTCGTTTTGCGCATTGTTTGCTACTGTTTCCGCGTCGCTAATTAGGTCGGGATTTCTGTCGACGAAGCCTTTCATGTTATTGCTTTGATACACATCGCTTGGCTCGTAATCACGGTTCGTTTGTACCGTGTAGTGCAGTGCGTGATGAGAGTGCGCGTTCACTATTAAACTTCCGTTATTTTTAGGTATGTTTCCATTGCTGCGACTCGATGGCAGTATCTGATTGCACAAAGCGACGTCCTTGCCGCTTTCCTTTTTCTTACGACTCCTCGTATCGGTTTTGAATTTCAACATGACTACGGCGATTATGGCTATTAGCAACACTATAATTAGGAATACAACGGTCACTATGACTACCAGATGTCTGTGTGGGAAGGTCACAACGATAACGACCGGTTCCTCTTTCACTAGGATCCTGAGCGTGTAATTGGCACGTGCCCGACCGGCGGAGTTCTCAGCGGCACATGTGTACGTACCGTTATCCTCGTTACTTATGCCCATAATGTACAATTCACTCTTTTTGTCGGTGACGCCGTTCTCGACGTAATATATTCGGGGATCCGGCGACATGGTCGAATAATTATGAATGATCTGTCCCTGGTATAACCACGTTATTTTCGCTTCGGGGATTGCTTTCACTAAGCATTCGAGCGTCACATTGTTGCCGGCGTTCGTCTCTACGTACACAGACGTAGGGCTCATTTTCGGTAGGCAGGCCAGCTCGTTCTCCGAAATGCTGGTGATGGTCCGTTTCTTCAAGCGTTCTGGAAGCGAGCAAGCGGGCTCAACGGCGTGCGGCATATTGAAATTCAACAGCCAACTATGCAAATCCCTCAAGTGGCAATCGCAGTTCCAATTATTATTTTGCAGGTTGATCCCCCGCAGCGTATCGGGAAACAAATTTTCTCCCTGAATATTCGATAGTTTATTCCCGCTCAATCGCAGCCATTCAAGGTGATTCAGACCGGCGAATGCGTCTCTCTCGATCGTCTCTATTTTACAATCGCTCAGCTCCAACGTGTTCAAATAAGAGAGATGTTGGAAACAATGTGTTTTGATACTCGCGATTGGATTGTTATTGATCGACAGTCTCATTAGCGACGGGATAAACACGAAGTTACTCGAGGGTACGAGGTTCAAATAATTGTTGGAAAGGTCCAATTCCACCAAGTTAGCGAGACCTTTGAACGCTTGGCTGTCTATTTTCTGCAGTCGACATCGTTGCAAGTAAATCTTCTGCAAATCGATCAGTTTGAGTTTGTGAAAGGTTTCCTTTTGCAGCACTTGAAGATCGTTGCCGGTGAAGTCTAGGACTTGTGTTTCAGAGTCAAGCGAGTCGGGTATCGCTTTGAGGTCTTTCTCCGAACACTCTACGTACCGTTTTCCGTTTTTCCATTTGCATATACATTGCGAGGGGCACGCCATCGCTTGAAGCAGCATGCATGTCGTACATAAGGCAATGAGCCTCACGTGCACGCTCCTTTTGACTCTCATGTTGCCTCAAGGCAGGGCCTCTACGTAGAGCGGGTACATTATCTGAAACAAGCGGAAAATGCAAATGAACGAAAATGTCGTTTAAGTTTGTTGTTGTGAAGTGTTTCGGCTTGATTCCTGCAAGCTTTGTGATGTCGATGGGTCTTGTTTTTTTATTTCGCATTTGATTGGACAAGTTGCGAAGTACAGTGAATCGTGATATTTTCACAAAAAAGTAAAAAGGACTTTAATTTCTATTACACATGGTTTTAATTGAAATTAATTTCAGAATAACATTACAGTTCATGTGACAACAAATATGTCATTTTTATCGGCTTTCCTAAACAATATATTGTCGCTGTCATACCAAAATCTGTTATGTGCAAAAATTCTATTTTGAATCAACGAATGAAAACATTTTCGTATAAAATTTTATATGAAGGTGAATTTTTAAGAATTATATCAAATGAAAGCTATAGATAAATATTAGAGCTGTAGACACATAACAGTTTTTTTTATACGGTAGATAGGGCTGTGAACTATACGAAAAGGTCAAAAAGTAAAAATCTCAAAAAATGCACATAGCAAATTTTTGTTTGACAAAGACGATATGCTCCAATACAAGTATTTCAAGTATTTTGAAGACTATTACGAACTCGAAATCGAACAAACGGAAAACAACAAAACGCTTTATATTCACAGATTCAGCGGCAAATAAGGTTAGTATAACGTATAGAAATTTTGGGTCGGACGGTCGGCTCACATAAATAATGTAACAACCGCATACATAATGTAATCGGAAATGAAAAAAGGAATTCGTGTCCAACAAATACGCGAGCTTGTTCGACGAGGTTCGCCGGGAAATTAAAATAAATACGGAGCGTCCACCCTCGTCAGTGTCGATTTAGCGAAGCACTTTTAATTTGGCAGTTCGTTAAACGCGCGACATCCCGGTACTACCAGGGCTTACTGGTCGTAGAACCTCTTGTGAGTCCGCGCGGGTAGGTACCACCGCCCTGCCTACTTCTGACGTGAAGCAGTAATGCGTTTCGGTCAGAAGGGTAGGGCAGCCGCTGTAACTATACTGAGATCTTAGAACTTATATCTCAAGGTGGGTGACGCATTTACGTTGTAGATGTCTATAAGCTCCAGCAACCACTTAACACCAGGTGGGCTGTGAGCTCGTCCACCCATCTAAGCAACCAGGGTCGACTCACGACGCACTCGACGGGTGCCAATGAAAAATACTTAATCTGTTTGTTCTTAAAATAAATTTGGGCCGGAGAATAAATCGAGGAGCTACGTGGAATGGAATTAGCCGTATTTTCCGGAGATACATATCGGGTTTCTTTCGTTTGATATTTTTTTCTTCTTAAACTTATTCCATGCGGAATCTTGTTAATGCCCGGTCGTGTAATTTAAAAGTTATCTCAAAATAAATTCTTTCGCCGTTTTTATTATTTTATTATTACGCAAATGGGTGAGCGACCTCACAATATACAATTTTAAGTGTGTACCCGAACTCATAGGCACATGTCTTGAGACATGAGAACGGGATCCTAAGAGTATGACTGCCACACTACCTTCGAATCAGAACGCGTGACCGCTTCATCGCAGAAATACACCCAATGATAAAACCGAAAAAAAAAACACCTTTCATTAACCTAATTACGCATTTTTACGGATTATGTTGAATTTCTTTTTTATTACCTCACTAGTTGACCCGGCAGACTTTGTAGTGCCTCAATCGATAAATAAAATAACTAAGCTTTTGTATAAAATAAACTTAAAACAAACAAAAGGAATCCGTCCGACGGGGGACACATCAAAGGAAAAAGAAAATTGTTATTTTTATTTCATTCCGAGCATTTTCATATTTATCTAACTTTTAAACCTTCTCTGGACTTCCACAAATCATTTAAGACCAAAATTAGCCAAATCGGTCCAGCCACTCTCGAGTTTTAGCGAGACTAACGAACAGCAATTCATTTTTATATATAAAGATAGATAGATAGATAGATTTTAATACTTACTGACCGTGGAAGTCATTCGTGAATACATGTCAAGTACGTATTTACATATAAAATATAACAGATATTAGAAATTAAGGGTAAATGACTGCAGGATTTGAACATCAGCACAATCTCATCGCTTGAGACCAGCATAAACAGCAACAAAACATAAGCAAATAACGCAACATAAGCTAAACATAACAGCTGCAGCAACAAACAGCAACTGTTTTTAGGACTTTAGGTCGCGATGATATCTTTAACGTCTTCTTGCAGATTTTCATATATCATGATTACGGTAGTTATTTATTTGTTAGTTGGTTAAATTTGATACTAAAGCAAATACATACTTCATATAGCAAAAATAACATTCGACTTAAATATAAGCTCACTAAGCAGACACTAGACATGAAATACAGCTACAAAACCCCCACTAGTATTTGGCAATATTGAATCTAATCCTCAATAATTCACGGCGTATATTTCAATAGCGCACCGCCCCCTTACTCATTTGTATCGCAATATACGCATTGCCATTTGTCGGATTCAATTGTGAGATATTGGAATAGAAGCCGCCATCGTTAATGTTTCAACTCGGTGGTTTATTAACGGCCTATGTTTGAATTATAAATATATTATTGTTCAAGGAACAATTGAATTTTGCTTGTTTCCGAAATAGTGGATAATCGATATCCGAAGTTGAAAGGTGATGGTGCCCATGCATCAGCCCGCTGAGTTTCTCGCCGGATCTACTCAGCTACTCAATTGCTTTTGAGTTGTTAGGTCTCCTTCGGAGGCGCTCGGGCAGTTGTTAGCAAATCCCACCCCTCCTGGCTGAGTCTTTGCTCGCCCACCTGTCCTGGGGAAACTAAAAAGGCCTTCGGGCCACTAGTAATCGTTCAATAATAATAATAAAAAAAAGGTAATGGTTAGAGGTGGCCAGATTGATTGACTAGGTGGTGCAGTACTAACTACTACAGTACTGGACTGCGGCTCTTACCGTTGCGCTGAGAATCATGGGTTCGATTCTCACATCGAGTAGACATTCGTGTAATGAACAGGTTTGTTTTACTCTTTGTGTGCGTATTTATTATTATTACGCCGGTAAGAGTAACGCCATCTGTCATCAAATAACAGAAACACATGTCGAAACGACTCGTCTTATCGGGAATGTTTTCGATTATTGTAGAGTTGTCGTATTGACTTTATAAGCGCTGCTCAGATGACATGAAGGTGAAGTAATCGGTGATATTCGAAGCGGAAGAAGTGAATTACGAATTTTTTAAATGTTCCTTAAGTGTTTTAAGTGTTAATTAGAGTTTTAATTTGTACTTCGGTGAACGTTTTATTTATCCCGAACCCCAGCGCGTATCGTTATCTATATATGTGTATATTTAAACGTATATATTATGAGTATTTATGTCAGTCTCTGGTACCCTAATAACACAAGGAATCCTAATATGAGACCGGATGACCGTACGTGATTTGTTTGTTTTTTTTATTTATTTTTATTGCTTAGATGGTTGGACGAGCTCACAGCCCACCTGGTGTTAAGTGGTTACTGGAGCCCATAGATATCCGCAACGTGAATGCGCCACCCACCTTGAGATATAAATTCTAAGGTCTCAAGTATAGTTACAACGACTGCCCCATCCTTCAAACCGAAACGCATTACTGCTTCACGGCAGAAATAGGCAGGGTGGTGGTACCCACCCGCGCGGACTCGCAAGAGGTCATACCACCAGTAAGAAATTGAGAGAGAATCGCAAGGTTTGTTCGCGGTTATTTATTTATTGGGGGATTTATTGGGATTTTGGGGGAGGCCTATGTCCAGCAGGCTGATGATGATGATGATGATTTATTTATTCAGTTATTATTTAGAGCGGCAATTTAGATTGTCATTTTATGTACATTATTGATAGCACTATCTACTGGATCTGTTTAAGTTCCTATTCGAAATCAGTCTCTAGTAAAATTATTCACCATTCGAAGTCTGGATGTATATTCTTGAATGTGTTACATACTTGTATCGCAAATACCCAAAAAAAATTTAGCTTGGGCTTAGAATATGTTGTTTATAATTTTCAACCATCTTAAAAAATCTTATCAAAACATCCATTGGTTTTCCTCTTAGCGCATATATCCGTGATGTAATCATTTACCGAGGCTAAATAATAATATTGTGAGCTATTCAAATTCAAATTCAAATTCAAAATCATTTATTTCAACTTGGATGTCATCAAAAACACACTTGTTGAATGTCAAAATGTAAAAGAAAATATTAACTCTACCACCGGTTCCAAAAAAAGCCACAGTCCTGAGAAGAACCGGCGAAACAAACTCAGCGGGCTTTTTTTTTTCTTTTGTATTTTCTCATCTATTTTCTTTTTTTTTTAAACAAGAAAACATATTTACAGTATACAAAAAAACAAGTCAAAAAAATACAATTCAATTAAATAATAATAATAATGAAAAATGAAAAGGCCAGGAGCGAACGCCTCATTCCCACGTAGTGCCATCTAGTAAAAAATCCTTAACTTTATAATATGCCTTGTTGCACAAACGTTCCTTGACAGTTTTCTTAAATCTATGAACNAGGCCAGGAGCGAACGCCTCATTCCCACGTAGTGCCATCTAGTAAAAAATCCTTAACTTTATAATATGCCTTGTTGCACAAACGTTCCTTGACAGTTTTCTTAAATCTATGAACAGGTAGTAGTTGAACGTTTTGTGGGATCTTGTTGAAAAGTTGTACACCCAGCCCCCTGAAAGAGTTGCTTATTTTCTTAATTCGACGCTTCGACGCCCCGACACTGTTAAGGAGAGCTCTTGACGGCGCTTTGTGTAAAGGCAATAGGGATATGGCAAGCCGCCAGTGGACGAACAATCTATAGATAATACGAATATCTAGTTATTGATGGTCTGCGACCTGGATTACGTGGTTTTTAGTGCCTAAAAAGGAATGCCGACGGTTTTTATAGCACGTTAGAGAAAGAAAAACGTGTGCCATCG